TGATACGAGAACGATACGCGTATGATACGAGAACGATACGCGTATGATACGAGAGCGATACGCGTATGATGATACGCGATACGCGTATGATACGAGAGCGATACGCGTATGATACGAGCGATACGCGTATGATACGAGAGCGATACGTGTATGATACGAGAGCGATACGCGTATGATACAAGAGCGATACGCGTAAGATACAAGAGCGATACGCGAATGATACGAGAACGATACGCGTATGATACGACAATGATACGCGTATGATACGAGAGCGATACGCGTATGATATGAGAGCGATAAGCGTATGTTACGAGAGCGATACGCGTATGATACGAGAACGATACGCGTATGATAAGAGAACGATACGGGTATGATACGAGAGCGATACGCGTATGATACGAGAGCGATACGCGTATGATACGCGTATGATACGAGAGCGATAAGCGTATGATACGAGAACGATACGTGTATGATACGAGAGCGATACGCGTATGATACGAGAGCGATACGCGTATGATACGAGAGCGATACGCGTATGATATGAGAGCGATACGCGTATAATACGAGAACGATACGCGTATGATATGAGAGCGATAAGCGTATGTTACGAGAGCGATACGCGTATGATACGAGAACGATACGCGTATGATAAGAGAACGATACGGGTATGATACGAGAGCGATACGAGAACGATACGCGTATGATACGAGAGCGATACACATAATATACAAGAACGACACGCGTATGATACGAGAGCGATACGTGTATGATACGAGAACGATACGGGTATGATACGAGAACGATACGGTATGATACGAGAACGATACGGGTATGATACGAGAGCGATACGCGTATGATACGAGAGCGATACGCGTATGATACGAGAGCGATACACATAATATACAAAAACGATACGCGTATGATACGAGAGCGATACGGGTATGATACGAGAGCGATACGCATATGATACGCGTATGATACGAGAGCGATACGCATATGATACGAGAACGATACGTGTATGATACGCGTATGATACGAAACGATAAGCGTATGATACGAGAGCGATACGCATATGATACGCGTATGATACGAGAGCGATACGCGTATGATACGAGAACGATACGTGTATGATACAAGAGCGATACGCGTATGATACGAGAGCGATACGCGTATGATACGAGAGCGATACGCGTATGATATGAGAGCGATAAGCGTATGATACGAGAGCGATACGCGTATGATACGAGAGCGATACGCGTATGATACGAGAACGATACGTGTATGATACGAGAGGGATACGCGTATGATACGAGAACGATACGTGTATGATACGAGAGCGATACGCGTATGATACGAGAGCGATACGCGTATGATACGAGAACGATACGCGTATGATACGAGAACGATACGCGTATGATACGAGAGCGATACGCGTATGATACGAGAGCGATACGCGTATAATACGAGAGCGATACGCGTATGATACGAGAGCGATACGTGTATGATACGAGAGCGATACGTGTATGATACGAGAGCGATACGCGTATGATACGAGAGCGATACGCGTAAGATACAAGAGCGATACGCGAATGATACGAGAACGATACGCGTATGATACGAGAGCGATACGTGTATGATACGAGAACGATACGCGTATGATACGAGAGCGATACGTGTATGATACAAGAGCGATACGCGTATGATACGAGAGCGATACGTGTATGATACAAGAGCGATACGCGTATGATACGAGAACGATACGCAAAATTATGTTAACAAATACGCGAGCGGTACTGTAAAAGCTTTTATTTCTAATAAAATACAAATTCTTGTAGTATATTACTTGTTCCAATTGTGATGTTCCTGGGACATCAACAGCAATCATACTCTTCTTCTGCTTTCACTTTTCAACAGCCTCAGTTCTTGGCTGCTTTGAAAACATTGTGTTCATGGGAGCTGGTGCGGACTTTCGAATCTCACATGACACTTCGTTCACTTGGGAGCAATCAGTTTGCATGAAGGTCTCATACATGGATTCAACATAATCTAAGACAAGAAAAAAATTGGAATAAATTTTGTATAATTGCTAGTTTTCTTTCAACTGCATGTTTGTCATTCATAAATGAGTACACATTTACCAAAGTTCTGTTTCACACGAACACTCCTAATTGTGGCTTCACCATTTTTAAATTTAGGATATACAACTGAAACACACTCTGTGCCATTATCATTTTTCTTTTCGTCTCTTCTTAAGTTAACATTGAAATGCATTGCTGCTATGATGTGTCTGGGAAAAGATCACATTCTTTAGTTTAGTAAATTATTAATGCAAATGAAGCCCAAATATACATTGCTTTCTACTTTGTATTGTTTAATGTAAATATTTTTAAGACATTATGATAGTACCTTGTTACCATTCCTTGATATGTGAAAGCAATCATCTTTGGAGCAAAGTGGTTCAAAACAGAGTGGAAACCTTCCCAGCAACTTGTTCGAGCAAGATGGGAGGTTTTCACAATTCCTTTCTTAAATTCCTTATTTGTAAGAGTTGCAAACAACTTTTCATACAAATTAGAATCTGTGAGAAATAATTAAACAGCTATTATCTTAGGAAAAATAAGAGCACACTCAATGCAATTCTGTGTTGACAATAGAAACAACTTTGAAACTATAGTGAGCAAGTATACCTTTCTTCAACCATTCTCTTGGTTCAATGTCACAGTGAGCACACTTGATGAAAAGTGGTTCATCCAGCTCATCATGTTTGTTTATAACATGGTTCAGAAAAGACACAAATTTTGCCCAAATTCATGTACCCTCCCCTGAGAAAGTTGATGTTGCACTCCATACAAAGTGATTCTCACAAGGACGAATCCACTGTGAAAGGGCTTCATTTCCTTATTTTTTGCTCTGCTTTGTCAATACTTTATCAATTTCTACAATGAAGTAACAAATTTAATTTTACACTTTCAAAAGAGAACACAACCTACATCTTTTATACAATAACTGTACTAACTTTTCTCAATGTGCCATAGGTCAAAATAAAGTGTTATTTGATTCAGATTTTCACGCATGTACTTCTGTATTGATGTGTGGCAGTCTGTCACCATGGTAGAAATATTGAGTCTACAGTTCAGCATGTAATCCATACATCTTTGAAAATCGATGTATTCCATGGCTGGACTACTTCCCACCTTGTTTCTCTAAAATAATAATTGTCATTTAAACAGAAAAATATTACATGTGTCCTAAGTTAGAGTTATTAAAGTGGTATCCCTGGCTTCCTGAGCTAGCTTTACACCACATCTCTCAAAATGTAGCACATACTATTGCCTCTAGACAATTTATGTCTAAAAACATATGTTGAAAATATGAGAAGGCATACTTCCCATTTCATAAACCTCTCAAACAAAATCCCACAATCATTTATTAGCCATAAAAAGTAGGGGTGGGGTAAATATAGTCACCCTCAATGTGTCATACAAAGTAGGGGATGGGGTAAATATAGCCACCCTCAATGTGACATACAAAGTAGGGGGGGTAAATACAGTCACCCTCAATGTTTCATACAAAGTAGGGGGTGAGGTAAATATAGCCACCCTCAATGTGTAATACAAAGTAGAGGGTGGGGTAAATATAGCCACCCTCAATGTGTCATACAAAGTAAGGGGTTGGGTAAATATAGCCACCCTCAATGTGTCATACAAAGTAGGGGGTGGAGTAAATATAACCACCCTCAATGTGTCATACAAAGTAGGGGGTGAGGTAAATATAGCCACCCTCAATGTGTCATACAAAGTAGGTCAATAAGTTCAAAATGGAGAATCATGGGCACAGAGCAACAAAATATTGTGTAAGCACAATATTTTGCAGAATGGTCCAAGCTGTCATGTCTGCCATCTCCTGCAATGACCACTGTTTTCTTCTGCTTCTTAATTGTTTCCAACAAGGCCAGCTTGTATTTCCTCCAATGGGTCATGACCATTGGGAAAAGCAATTCCTGATAAAGAAATATCAAATGAATATAAGAAAACACAACTTCAAACCTTGGTAATCAGGAAAATCAAAACAACCCACTTACCCTTTGATGTTTGAAGAATGTGGTCAAAGATATGCCTTGAAGACACATGTGTGTGAATACTCAAATTACCTTGCTAGCAGAAGCTCCGGACAATAAAATGGCAAATGAGAGGAGAAACTTTCCCATTGGAATACGGGAAGCTGGCAGGAATGATTGTCACTTCCCGTTGTGCTCTCTATTTTTACAACTAGGGTTACCACATGACATGTTTATATCAGCCATAGTACCAACTTTTGATACTTCAACTATTGGCTTATCACTACCACATGATGGACATACTTTAAACAGGAGCAACAGCTGTGGCAAGGTGACAATAAACTTAGGTTGCTTCCTGCGGTTGCTTTTTTCTTTGTTCACCCTGATTGTTAGAACAATACATGTATATATTATATTTTGTCTGTCGAAAAACACAAATAAAATGATTGATAACACTGGAAGACTAAATAATGCATAGGTTCAGCACATTCATACTATTTTGACTGGTTTGTTTCAGCTTCAGATTCTAGCTCTTCACTTTGGAAAGAATCTGTTTCAATGTCATAGTTGTCAGAACCTATGGACCACATTTATATGTTAATAAAATTTGTGGTATATAATTTTAGCTATTAGCATTGAAATCAAACTTCACCTTCATTTTCCATCTCACTACCAATGTCAATATCCATATCCATGTTATCATCATTACTACCATCTTGCTTTTCTTCCTCATTCTGATTATCCACCCTGACACATTTTACTACTGTTTCAACCAGTTTACGTAATTTCTTTTTTTCTATGAAATCATGATATACACAGGTGTTACAATACTCATATTTTAGTAATTTAATTGCAGCCATGTATCTATTTAAATGACATTGAGACAATACAAGAATATATGCTCTTGAAGAAACCAACTTGAATGTAATAAAACAATTTACCATCAGTAAGTTGTTGGATAATAGCATTCTTGCTTTCTATCATTCTCTACAATTGCCTCGAGTTTTCTTTGTATTGAACACATTGCCTGCAATATTCTTCTTCAGTTTGGCAAAACCCATTCTGAACCTACAAAAAAAGATATAACCTTTAGATCTTACAATCTACTAGTGTAAAAAGTCTTTTGAATAAATTATTGGAATAAATTCAATACCTGTACTTCTGCTTGTACTGCAATTGTTTGAACTCGCAAAACACTTCTGTGCTACACAAAATATCTCCAACAACCTACAATAAAATACAATATGGTATCAACTGCAAAATTAGATTTCTATAACAAAATCTTTGACGAATTTAAAACAAGCTTCCTTCTTCGAAGTTATCAGTCTCACGAGGATTATATATAGGATTCAAAACGAAATCCTTACCTGTCTACGATTCCTTTCAGAACGCGCACTTTCTTTCATCAGTCTTTATGAGAAATAAACAAAAGGAAAAGCAAACACACCAACTTCGACAGACACCAGTCTACTTGTTTGCCCTTGCGAACTAGTATACCGTCCGGTAAAATCTTCAGGTTTGAAGTGCAGCAAGCAAATGCTCGACGTCTTTGATATGGGGCATTTTGCTCGTTTTAAAACGACAAAATCTAGCCACTTTTTCCACCTTTTCTTTTTTATAGGATCTTCTGACCCATAAAAAGAAATGCGGTGAAGTCTTATGACCTTTTCCAGGCAAGGAATGCAAGAACTGCCAGCAACTATACAGCGATTAGGAATATCAAATGCTGAAATGATACTTACATGACGACACACTTTCCTCAAATGACCGCGCAGTGTAGAAGATCTTAGCTCTTTGTGTAGAATGTCTATTCACAAAGATATCATTGAACAAAAATAGGAATCAGGCAACACATTGTCATAGAAAAGGCATTTATGGCTATACCTATATTTAAAATAATTATGTTCTCAGTTATAATTTTACAGGCAAATGTATGTGGTTCAGTCTGAAAACGAATTTTTTTGAAATTCATTCACTCGGAATAAGTCTTTAAAGTAAAGAAGATGATTTTTTTTCTTTTTACGTAGTTTATGTGTAGAAAAAAATAGCCATTTTTCATGACAAATAATAGTACATACGAATGCTTCAATTTGATTAAATGAAATTTTGGCTTTCTAAAATGTTCATAATGGTTATTGACACTTCCATCCAATTTTGGGGGTAAATGGGATTATAATTAACAATCGTTTCCCTCAAGTGAAAGGTTGTCCTCTAGCTGGTGGATAATGAATTTCAGCAGGTGGTTTATCAGCTTTATCTACCACTTCATAAGTTATAAAGCATACATATTTACTAAGTGGTATAAAATATCCCTTACAATTCAGCCTGGTGTTACACTTGCAAATGTACAATTACTTATGACGTTTTAAAGTGCCCATGACATGAAAATTTTTATGTTTGCAATCACCAGAACTTTTAAAATGACAGTGTGCTTTCTAAAAAAGTTAATGCATATCTCTTTTCCTTCGCGAGATATTGAAGTTTTTGTTATTTCTATTTCATCCAACTTGTGACGTCATATTGCATAATGAGTTCTAAAAATTTTTCTAATACTCTTCATTTTCCCGACAACTTTAGGTTGATACTAATAGGCAGCATTTTATACCATTAAACACGTCACAACAAATGAAACTATGTCCTTGTGAAGTAAAGTATCGTTAAATATACCTAATACTCCTAACTCTCATTATGCAATGTGACGTCACAAGTTAGGTAAATCGGACATAGCATAAACCTCAATATCTCAAGAATTAAAAGTGATATGCATAAACTGTTTTAGAAAGTACACTGTCATTTTAAAAGTTCTGGTCATTGCAAACATAAAAATTTTCGTGTCATAGGTCCTTTAAAAAAGCATACTATTTGGTTTATAAACGAATGCAAAATAATTTATAGTCTTGTTAAGATTGATGAAGATTAGTTGCTATTACAAGCCAATCCTCGCTACCAAAGTCAAACACGGTTGTACATTCCAGAAAATCTAGCTGTCATATGTTACAACTCATTGTAAAATAAGAACGTTTCTAAAATCTTAAATAAATAGATGCAGTACACTCTGGAATAAATCCAAACAACTTAAGAGGCAAAAATGTCAGTCTTAGTCAATTGAAGAAAAATCTTTCGCACTTATTATACATTATATAAATCGTGTTGTTTTTAATGTTTGCAACGTTGTGTTTAAAAGGCTGCAGTAACTGGAGAAATCTGTAAAATTGCTCTTTGTCATTTTGAAGTTGTTTACGTTCTTTTGTTGTTATAGTATGCTCTTTGCGAAGTTAATTCAATAAAATAAAAAAGCCCAAAAGCTCAAAATTTATATAAATGATTTACAAAACTTTAAACTAAAACTGTCACACAACTAATACTGAGTGCTTTCATGTGACATAAATGTGCGGATACCTACCAGATGATATGGGATCTGAGATGATAAAATCACCATAACTTTGCACTAATTCCTATCTATGGAGTAAATACAAGGTCTTCCAGTAGTTATAAGATTATTTTGAAACTTTACTCAGTAAATGTGAGTGTGAGAGAGTTTTTAGAATATAGGCAATAGAGAGCGCCGTAGTTAACCTTACGTGTATTTAGGTGTATATTCAATATTCATTTAAGAAATCTTAAATACACAGCACTTACATTTTAGTTGTGCGGATTTAGGCACGAAATAATTGTCATGGTTACAGCGCATGAAATAAACAAAATATCAGAAAATGAGAACAACTATGAATATTTTTCTATAAAACTAATTAAAATATTATTGAGTCGATTTACAAATTATTAGACGAAATACTGTTAATCACTCAATGTCATGAAAATGTTATTTAAGTCAACTATTTTATGTGGTTCAGCTACGTAATTAATGTGAGATAGTAAAACACAAAAGTGTCTACTTATGGAATTATGCACAACTCCTGATGTTCAGGTTTATACGATAAGGAAGTCCTAAGAGCTCAAAACACCAATGCCAGACTTTTAGAAATTATAATAAATTTCAGAAATACAATTTTTTTTATCGAATACAAGTTTATTATGTTGGACGAATGTAGTGCAAAATTTATCAGTGCAGCCAAACATAAAAGTTAACTTTTCATGTCATATTCGCCTTCAGTCTTTTTCCAAAACAGTTTACAGTAAAAATTAAATAATCAGGTATATTACATTGTATCAATGAATACCACAGGCTATAGATTCAACAGAAATGTGGTGAAATATCATCTAAATACGTCGTGGAAACTGTTTTTCTTTATATCTGTAAAATAAGATCTTTACAGTATCAATGATTTCTTAATAGCTACTTTTTTCACCCCTAACAGGTTCTGTTGTGTCTAAATTGTTTATTGATGTGGTTCGCTTTCATTAGAATGAAAAAAGTTCTTGAGTTCTGGTTTGTATTTCAATTCTTCATTTGACCTGACAGCAGCATGTACCCGAGCAGGGAGATTAGGAATTGCTCGGAGAAAATACGCCCTGTAATCGCCAATCTTGTAAAATATTTCTGGTTGTGGTAGAGGACGATCGTTCCAATGCTGGCGAGTATTTCGAATGAGCCTTAAGCATTCTGCCCATGAAGATGTATAACGGACCTTATAGATATTTCCATTTCTCTCGTACGTGCGAAAATAATCATAGACATCCCAATTAATTTGACTTTTCCAAAGTAAGCATTCGCTATTCAATTGTTGAACGACACTTGACTGGAGATCATTTGTCTTAATCTGATGAAGATTCCCAACTTCACATAACATTTCAAACTTCTCATCATCTGACATGAGAAATGGATGCTTTAATGCTTCGTTAGAATATGGTCTGTCTTCAGGTTTTAGATTTAACATCCACGACAGAAGGTCCTTTAGTATTTTATCCTCGATTTCTTTCAAACCAACAGGGTTTCCATTTAACATGTTAATCAGTCTGTAAGGTTTAATTCCAAAAGGATGTTTTCCTTTTGTTGCAACATAATAAGCTACCATCCCTGCATTCTAAAATAATAAAAAGCGTTAGATCAAAATGCAATTTCACAACATTGACTTTCATTACAACTTACAAATGCTTACATTCCTACACTTACATATACATCTGACTGTCTTTTGTAACGTGCTTTGTTTACTGAATCATCATCTTCGCAATATGATTCAGGAGCTATCCAATGCAGGGTTCCCATGGAAGTATTGCTTTTATATGTTGTAGAGTCACTCTTCATTATTCGACTTATGCCAAAGTCAGCTATCAGAAATTGGCTTTTTGAGTCTCGCAGAACATTGGAAGGCTTTAAATCCCGATGTAGAATAGGATTTTGGCCACTATGAAGATCAGCTAATCCTTTTAAAATTTGTCTAAGAATATCAGGAAGAGCTTTTTGAAGATCATGCAAAGTAGAGGACTTGACAAAACTCTCCAATTATTCTTCACATAAGTCTAATATCAAATATACATATTCTGTTCCTGTATCTTCTTCTAAGTAGAAATAATTCACAACATGTTTCGACTTCTTTGCATTGAATTTATTTAAAATTTCCTTTTCGTGATGTGCAAGCTGGATTAATTTATGCCGATGTATTTGTTTCACTGCTTTACCGTAACCATCCTTACCCAGTCCAAGGAAAACACGGGTTGCACCACTTCCTTCGCCAATGCAAAATTCTTCTGAGAATATTACACGTACATTGCCCATCACTTTAACCTCAACACTGGGATTGCACCCATATTCAATCAATTTTAAAAACAATTCTCTATGTTTCGTTGATTCATCAATGTATTTCCACACTTCTAGGTAAAAATATTACATTCAAGGGTTAAAGAAACAAAATAAATACATCAAAATAGCTTAATTTTCCCCAATTAGGAAAGGATACTGATATCGTACACTTTTAAAAAAAACGTATTAACAATTATTAGACATATAATAAATTTTTTAACTGGTAACATTCGAGGTTAGCTTATGCCAAACAATTAATCACAAAAACTTCTCTTAGCAATAATTTCATGAATTTTTTTAAGGAGTAACCTTGCGTTATTCAAAAATATTAAATTAAAATTTTGAAAGCATATATCTTTTAGAGTCTAAAAAATTTTTTATACCAAAGGATAACAAAAGAGCTTCATTCAATTTTTCTTTCTATTCTCGACACTCGTCTTTTACATAGACTATCTTATTTTTGTTACCAAACATTAACATTGCAGTTTGATCTCAACAATTATTCTCTCAAACTTGATTGGACATCTTAAAGTGCCTATGAAACGAAAATTTTGCTAGTTAAATTATATCTGTATTGACCAGAACTTTTGAAATGACAGAGTGCTTTGTAAAACCTTTTCTGCATGACTTTTTTCATTCTGAAAATACTGAAGTCCTTGCCATTACCAATTTATCTAACTTGTGACATAATATTGCATGCAAAATGAGTCGCTGCAATGTTTCAAATACCCTTAATTTTCCTGACAACTTTAGGTTGACAATGGTAGGCATATTTTATATCATTAACACGTCACAAAGAAGGAAACTCCTCCATGTTAAAATAATGTATCAGCAAATATATTTAATACATCTAGTTCTCGTATGAATGTTTTATGCAGTGCGGTGTTTGAAATTAAATGAAGATATGATCTTCGCACTTTGCTGGACAATTTAAGCAATTGTCTCAGGAACCTGAAAAATCATGTGACTCAACGGGATTCGAACCCATGACCTCTGCGGTGCCGGTGCAGTGCTCTGACCAACTGAGCTATGAAGTCACACAGTGGTGAGCAGGTCAATATTGTTGGGCTCAATTTTTCTCGTGAAAGGAATGTCGTATGAATGTTTTATGCAGTGTGGCCAACAATATTGACCTGTTCACCACATGAGCCCAACAATATTGACCTGCTCACCACTGTCTGACTTCATAGCTCAGTTGGTCAGAGCACTGCACCGGCCCCGCAGAGGTCATGGGTTCGAATCCCGTTGAGTCACCTGATTTTTTCAGGTTCCCGAGACGATTGCTTAAATTGTCCAGCAAAGTGCGAAGATCATATCTTCATTTAATTTTTAACATCTAGTTCTCATTATGCAATGTGACAAAAGATAAATCGGACATAATAAAAACTTCTATATCTCGAGAACGAAAATTGATATGCATAAACTAGTACAGGAAGTCCATTATCATATTGAAATGTCTGTTCAATAAAAGTATAACCCAGTTGGTAAATTTTCGTTTCAGGCTTTTTGTGCTTTAACTCTAAATTATCTGACACGTACTGTTTCTCTTATTTACCTTGGGAAACTGACCCTAGTTATCTTTATTTCAGCAGACGCAAACTCTACCTTTTAATTCATCTATTTCAGTTTGTCGAATACCCAGACAAACCAATGCTTTTGAAATTTCTTGCCACGAATGCTCAAACTCACTGTCACCTACACTAGTTGTAGTTATGTGACCGTACACTTGGTTTCGATAAAACTTTATTCTTGCAATGTTTGCTGAGATTGAAGTATCTGAAGAGTAAGGAAGATAATCCCATCCACTATGTGGCGCTTTTAGACCACAAATGTTACGCAATAAGACATACAATAATGAAATATCAAACTTTTCAATGTCAGGTGAGCCAGTTGATGGGTAAAGAAGGTTCCATTGCTCCTTGCTGATGACTTTGAATTTTAGTGGTGTCAATTTACTCTTTGTAGAAGGATCATTAAGTTTATCTTTCAAGTTTGTTGATTGAAGGTTTAGATTCCTTAGCAATGTTGTTTTCAAGGCTTGGGTTCCTTTATTGATTATGAGTTTATTCAAACGAGATCCATTTTTCTCAATCATTGATTTTTTAGGTTTCGAAGCCATTTGTTATTCTAGAAATGAACAACGAGTGTGTGCAAAAAGCATCAATTCGCAATGTACAAAATGTTCACAAAAGTTAAAAGGATAAATTAAAAATAGTCCTACAAGTCATTTATAAAGACTTGTGTGCTTCATTTCTTTCTCTCGATAAAAATTGTGTTCACTGCCTAGCGACATGACCAAGCAATTAATCTTACATCAAGGCGTTAAATTGGTAGACTTGATACAATGAAAAAACACTTAAAATGATAATATTTTCGCCTACTCGGCGCGAGAGGCAGCAGTTACCTTACAATAGTAATTCCTAGTTAATAAATAATATATCTTATTTGTCTAACAATGGTGTGGACGTCTGTAATCACTAGTAAAGCGTATAAATGAATGACATTTTCAGCTGCAAGGTTTTGACTATAGTCACTAAAACAAAGTGCAGATTATACGCTCTAAAGCAAAGGTAATTAAAGAACAACATAAATATCGACTTTACTTAAAACAATTCTATTCGTCATCGTTCGCATATGCGACTATCACAATGACACAGCCGAGGATATCACGACGAACAAACACTGCCTGCCTCACTGCCTCACTCAGGCACTTTTTTAGTATGGCATAATGGTTAGCTGCGCATGCACAGGGGCTACCCACAAAAACTAACTAGTGATAAATTATATTATTTTTATTATACAGTATAACTTGACGTCTACAACTGCTCCCCTCCCTCCCAAAAAAATGTTGTTGCTCCCCAAATTTTACAATCTCGGTTAACTTACATAAAACTACCTTTGTTTTAGAAATAAGACTTCATATACGACGATCGTGTGGACAAAATTATGCTTGCCTTAGTTCTTTACATGTTACGTACCTAACAAAAGATGAGAAATTTAATATAAAAAACGCGACTACATACATGTCAGTTAAAAAATGGTGATCATAATTCATTCATTAATGAGCGTCAACTTTATATACATATGATTTTTGTAACATAATCACATTTAAATAACAAACGAAGATAAAGAGTGTAGGATCTCCTTCAATAAACAGTATTATTCTATAACTAATTATACAACACTGACTAAAAAAAATTCGCTTTGTCGTTTGAATGATCGTAATAAAGTAAATGGTTTGAACTCGGGAGTATCGTTACATCATCTTTTGACTCTGAAGATGACTACCGCTAAGGTTGTCGAAACGTCAGTCAACAACAACAAAAACAGTCCTTCTCAGGACTTTACCAACCTGGACGATCTACATTTACAAACATGTAGAGATATGATTTCTCATACATGTTTATTCATACTTCATCATTTTGTTTCTTTAGCTAATTGTTATGTCGGTAATGTAGTTCTAAAATCTTGTTTTACTTTTTTAAAATTACCTTTGATTTAGAAGTAAGACTTCATATATGACAACCTCGTTGACCAAATTATGCTTGCTTTAGTTCTTTACATGTCACATACCTAACAAAAAATGAGAGACTTAATATAAAGAAAGCGACCATTTAAACACATTTAAATAACGAACGAAGATAAAGAGTGAGTCAGGATCTCCTTCAACAAACAGTATTATAAAACATTAATAACATCTCTATAGAACAATCCAGTTCTATAGCTAAGTACACATCACTGATTAAAAACAATTGTTATAGAAATAAAAATACATAAATAAGGCATCATGCATAGTACATAAAATAGCATTGAGATTAGTCAAATTCCAAAGGACTACTGTTAAATAATATAAGGTTTAAGAAATTTCAACTCAGGAATAAAGGGATCACCTATCTAAAATAGGATTCAAATGTGAATGATTACGACACAATTTTTGAAACTTAAAATCGATTTTTTCACTTCGTTAATCAAAAATTCCATAGATGTATATTATTGCATAAGTCAGTTCTTATTTTAAAAAGAGCTTTGTTATTGAATATAACTTTCTAAATTATGAATACATGGCAAACATCAACTGCACGCAATTATAATTACTTATGATCAATAAAGACACTGTAGATACAACAGTAAAGGATGCAATGGCAAGTGAACTTTAAAACTGTTAAACAAACATGATCAAAAGTATAATTTTAAAAGCTCACTGTGTTGCATGAATCAACATTTCACGAAAATAGATTCGGTTGCGTTCTTTCTCTGTGTAAATCAATTCTTCCTGTGTTCAACATTTGTTTATTTTACAAATGTTCTTACTTTTAAAATGAATGCTTTGCTCAATACAATTAACAACATTTTGTTAGACACAGCGATTAGTCAAAAGTGGCGTCGGCAAAAAAGGGAGGTGATGCATGATTGGACATATTATCCTTTATACATAAGTTTTCACAGATTCCCATTTTTTCCGTAGACAAGTATGCTATTTGACCTCTCCCATACCTTTGAACGTGTTTTGCTTTCCTTTGCCATGCAGCTTATTGTCAATAGTTAGAAAGTTGGTATATCAACTTAAATATGATTTCTCTTGAATGTTTAGTCATGCATTATCGAGATACTTCAGTAGCAAATTCGTTATGTAAAGTTAGTTATATAGTTTCAGAAACTCGCTTTACTTTCGACAAATTAGCTTCGTTTTAGAAATAAGACTTGATATATGACAACCGTGAAGACAAAATATGCTTGCTTTAGTTCTTTACATGTCACGTACCTTACAAAGATGAGAGATTTAATATAAATCATAATTCATACCTATTGTTACATCAATCTTTCATCCATATAAGTTTTGTTACATAAACACATTTAAATAGCAAACGAAGATGAAGGGTGAGTCAGGATCTCTTCAACAAACAGTATAAAACACATTAATGACATCTATGTAGAACATTCTAGTTATATAACTAAGTATACATCACTGACTAAAAACAATTGTTATAGAAATAAAAATACATAAATAAGAACCTCATGAAGAGTGCATAATAACATTAAGATTAGTCAAATTCCAAACGACTACTGCTAAATCTTATAAAGTTTCATAAGTTTTAACTCAGGAATAGAAAATCACCTACATAAATTCAAAGATTCACATTTCTTCCATAGACAAGTATACAAGTATGGAATAAGAATATACAAGTATGGAATTTTTGATTAATAAATTTTTCCTTTCATTAATCAAAAATTCCATACTTGTATATTCTTGCATAAGTCAGTTCTTATTATAAAAAACCTTTGTTCTTGAATAAACCATTGTAAATTATGAATACTTGGCAAACATCAACTGCACGCAATTATAATTACTTATGATCAATAAAGACACTGTAGATACAACAGTAAAGGATGCAATGAAAGTAAACCTTAAAACTGTTAATCAAACAAGATCAAAAGTATAATTCTAAAAGTTCAATACAATTAACAACATCTTGTTAGACACAGCGATTAGTCAAAAGTGTCGTTGGCAAAAAATGGAGGTGATGCATGATTGGACATGCTATCCACCCTACATAAATTTTCACAGATTCCCATTTTTTCCATAGACAAGTATGCTATTTCACGTCTCCCATACCTTTGAACAGGTTTTGCTTTCCATTACCATGCAGCTTATTGTCAATAGTTAGAAAGTTAGTATATAAATTTAGATATGATTTCTCATGCATGTTTAGTCATACTTTATCGAGATGCTGCTTTACCTAATTTGTTATGTCGGTAATGTAGTTCTAAAATATTGATTGATTTTTTTAAACTTTCCTTCGTTTTAGAAGTAAGATGACCGTGTGAACAATATTATGCTTGCTTTAGTTCTTTACATGTCACATACTCAACAAACAGATGAGAGATTTAATGTAAACAACGCGACTACATACATATCAGTTCAAAAATAAAGATCATTATTCACAGCTTATTGTTACATTAATCTTTCATCCTTGTGAATTTTGTTACATAAACACATTAAAATAACGAACGAAGATGAGGAGTGAGTCAGGATCTACTTCAACAAACAGTATTATGAAACAATAATGACATCTATGTAACAGTATAGGGAATATACAGTAGGTCCACTTCGTGTGCAACTGGCTGCTGTATATTTAATTTGATTACTGGCTGCCGTTAGAAATTTCATCATTCTTTTTGGTCAAAAAAAGTCATTGACTGGCTGCCACTATGGTAATCACATGCGTAATAAGATATGTGCGTTATATGTTTGTAAATGATGATCGTCCAGGTTAATAAAGTCCTGAGAAGGACTTAGATATGTGTGGCACGAAAAATTTCAATAAAATGGCTCTACTGTATGTTCTTCTATAGTGTGTCTATGTAGAACATCTCAGTTATATAACTAAATATACATCACTGACTAAAAACAATTGTCATAGAAATAAAAATCCATAAATAAGAACCTCATGAAGAGTACATAATAACATTGAGATTAGTCAAATTCCAAAGGACTACTGCCAAATCTGATAAAGTTTCATAAGTTTTAACTAAGGTATAGAGAATCACCTATCTTAGACAAGATTTGAATACCAATGATTAAAACACGATTTTCAAAACTGTGAATGGATTTTTCATTTCATTAATCAAAATTCCATTCAAATAGATTATTGCATAAGTCATTTCATATTATAAAAACCTTTGATATTTTATAAGCCATTGTAAATTATGAATAATTTTCAAACTCCAACTACACGGAATTATAATTACTTATGATAAAAAACACTGCAGACGCAAGAATAAAGAATGTAATGAAAATAAGATAATGCTTATCTCAGATGTGTAGTAAGATGAAAAACACATTGTAGTTGTGTCTCAGTAGGCAAATTTAAAAGATTAGTGGTACCAGTAAGGGAAAAAATACCCACAGAGATCATTTACGATTTCAAGAAATGAATGCTTAGAGTGAGTTAAATCACAGTATAGGAATATACAGTAAGGCCACTTCACTGTACAACTGGCTGCTGTATGTTTAATTAAGGGCTGTTCACATGAGCCCTGTAGCCGGGATTCAGCGAATCGTTAAAACATTTTGGCAAATGGAAAAGATTAAATACTTCATAACAAAAATCTTATTTGAGCAATTTCTCTGTACTATGACTTTGGAAATTCACAAAGCCTTTAAAATGAAGACAAATAATTTAGCTTCTTTTGAAAATTACGACTAAAAGACTTATGACGCTTAAGAAAGGTTGTGAATTTTGCGTTTAAAGCTTTAACTTTTTTCCATGACTTAAAATCAATTTACGCCTCGCAGAATCCCTGTTACCGGGTTCATGTGAGCAATCTCTTAGTTTACTGGCTGCCGTTTGCCATATCGTCAATCCTATTGGTCACACAATGCAATAGACTGGCTACCAATTTGGTAATCACATGCGTAATAAGATACGCGTGGCACGAAAAAATTCAATGGAGTGGCTCTAATGTATGTTCTCCATACTGTGGTTAAATATTCCTTTTCATCTCAGGTGATTTTTTCTTTGAAAATATGAAAATTCAATCTCTGCCAAGAATATTGGTTAATTTATGCAAACTTTACATTTGACTAGAGATGGTACAAAGTAATTTTCTCAGTAAATATTTGATGTTATGCAAAGTTTTTCCTCCCATGACCACCCCTAAAGTGAACCTTCTAAACATGTCAAGAACTTTACAAAAGTTTTGTTTTTGTTTTTGAAAGTTAGAACTATGTTAACATTGCAATTTTAGTGGGGTTTCGACTTTAGGATTTTCGTACCGGATTGAAGAATTGGCACATGTACCATGTTGTTTGTCGTGGTCATTTTACACCTTCAAGTTGAGATTACTTCAGGTAAACGAAGTGCATACAAACTCTTATACAAGTAGTTCTTGACCACTAACTCATTCATTACACGTTTGTAATTGATCATGCGGCTTGCATAAATTAAACATTTGTTACTTTTTCAAAACTTGACGTTACTAACGTTACTAACATCCATCTCATTGTTGCTAATACGTAACCCTGAGTTAGCATTGGTTAGTAACAATATGTTGCACTACGAGTCTACGACAAAGACAAACTATGTTTCATCAATACCAATTTAAAGTCTAATTTCTAACGATAGAGTCTCACGTTTTCAAACGTCCTTCCATATTTGCTAAATTTCAGCATTCTACGGTCGTTTACTGCATAAAAACAACAGCTTCATACTTAACTTTATAAAGGGTTATGTTATGCATGCACAGAAGCACAACACAAACAGAAATACACGAACGCAACCAGAAGTAAACTATTTTGAGTTTACTCGATAAATTCCATAGCATTTCTAATTCAAGTAGTGGAATAACATTTTAAATAAGTTGAAACTGTACGTGTTGCGTTGACGCAGGAATGTTGTTAATGAAGATCGTATCAAACAATAAATTTTACGAGAACTCAATGAATGCGGTATTATGCTTGGTCATAGAGCTATTTGGAGGCTTTTGCAATCTAAGTATAACGTGCTAGTACGTTATTTGACTATTCAAACTATGCTCAAAGAAATCGACCTTGAAGCAACATGACAAAACAGAATAATAATAAGAAAGTATTTGAATCCAAGCCCTAAATACACCTGGTAAGATAAACTTAAGCCGACGGGTAAGATAAACTGAAGCGGTATGGCTTTACATTTTCATGGACACATTGATGGGTTTATATTTAAATTTATCGGCTGTCGGATAATTATAATCAAAATTATGCGAGAACTTATAATTATAAATAAAATTACGCCTAAAGGACATCGTGTCGTGGTAAATTGTGCGTAAGAAATTGAGTTACATCATCTCATTTTTTGAAGATGATTGACTTCTAGGCAATGATGTGGAAACTTGGACCGGACTTGTTTCTATATTTATTTCGGTATTCGAGTGAAATTTTTGAAGCATAAGATAACAAAAAGCTTAACCACAAGCTTATGGAGGGTGATTTCCCCCAAAACTAAAAGCTATATTTTTAATTACTAATGCGCATTTTGTCCTTTGCAATGTGCATTTTGTCCTGATCATATTCCATTCTGGAATTTTATAATCGGATTTTGTCCTGTACAATTTCTGTTAAAACTCATTTTGTTGTTGAACATTCCTTTAGTATGACGTAACATTATTCGTGACTCGCAAAACATCAAATTTTACTCAATCACATTATAATTTATTTATAATTATTTATCGCCAAAAATTGTTAATATCAATAAATTATACTGTTGCAATATTTTATGCAATAACTATAATGAAAACAAAACAAACCAATTGTTTTACCTACAAGTCTACAACCCTAAAACATGGCAGACAGGTTATACTTTGTAAGAATCCTTCGCAAGTCTATTTTGGGTTGTATTGCTGACCTCGAAGGAAGTCCAGATCGGGATTTTTGCGTTTTTCGTATTGATTCTCTTTACCATACTACGCAAAAGAACTTTTAAATGTCAATGTTCATCATGATATTAATCCATCTTCTTCATTGAACTGCACTCAAGTTTTCAGTGGCACACCAGGGCGACCAATGTATGAAGTAAACGAAGATATTCTGAGTTATTTTTTGGATAAGCGTTTTACAGTGAAAGATACGGCAAATCTTCTGGGAGTCAGCAAAAGAACCATTGAAAGGAGGATGAACCAGAGCCCTCTATAGTATAAGAGTTGGGACATCTATTGTTATCCGTTTAGCTTACGTTGATTGGGCAATATTGATCACCTGATCAATTTCCGCCATTTTGGTTCCTAGTTTTGAAATTTTAGCTAGTGTTTATATAGCAATTGCTGCTAGTAATACAGTATTTTGAGATAATATTGCGTTTTTTTATGGATAAGTGTGTAATAACTGATTGTTGAAGGCTACTAAATGTCATTTCATATCGCATAAATCGAGGATTACGAAAAAAATGAAAGAAATGCCTTTACGTCGAACTTACGAAATTTGATTGCGTATGGTGATTGTTGTGCTGAATGGCTTTTGATATAAGGTTCAATTAACTGACTCAAGTAGAGAAACATTTTTGGGCCAAATAACATTGCAAAGTTCGTGCTGATGCAGTTTCAATAGTTTTCTTACTCCAAAGCTTGTTTTTAATCGAAGATGATTTCTCATTATGTTCTGAAATTGGTTAATCTACAAACCTCTCAATTCTCAGCCACTTCCATACTAAAACAACTACACCAAATCACAGAAACTCTTATGATTTTCCATGTTGTATTTTGTATTTTTAGTTCATCATTTAAAAATGAAGTAATTATAATTAGGATATTCACTGAAACAGCTGAGTACAATATATTTTTGGTATTGAATTGTACAAATGTACCCTACTTCTGTAGCTCAAAGTAGAACATTACTTCTCTTCTAGACTTGTCGATGATATTTTAATTGTAGGTTTTGGTTTATAAGATCACAGAGGCATATCTCCATAATTTCAGCTATTTGGGCTTTTTAATGTATATTACAATTGTTGCTGCCTTTCTCATATATATTAAAATATTGCGGGCTTTCTGATATATATTTAGGTGCTGCTAGCTTTTTGATATATATATTTCACTGGCAATACAAGGCATAGAATTTGAACAAACGGGGCTGTGCTCCCTCCAACACACCCCTGTTTGATCATTAAACACATATAGAAGTTTTGTCATTCCTCAACCAATAAATTTAACTCTTTGCTAAATTAAAGATTGCATCAGACTCATATGCTGTATAAAAGGCTACAAACATTAGCATTTATAGCAAACAGACTGTTCTTCAACAACAGAAATGTTTCATATTATAGAAATAATATATTCATTTTAAAGAAATGCTTCACCAAAATTTTCAGCAGAATCCCTAACAAACGTTATTAGAAATAAACTTTAATACTTTATAAAGTGATAAAGGCGAAATAACTTCATATAAAGGAATAAAACATTTAAGGTCAAATGCATCTTGGTCAAATCATTGCATATTTCAATAAATAAAAAGTAAAAAAGTCTGTCATTTTCTGCTGAGCAAGAAAATGTGATCTTTCAGAATAAAAAATATCATGCTTGGATTAAATTGGGGGGGGGCATAAATCACTCACTACCATTAAATTGTTACAAATCTTGAACACAAATCTCTCCGGACCAAATCTGCATGATTACTATGATTCGAAGTTTCAAACAAAGTCTTGTCCAAGTATTTGATAACACTGATGCCAGGATAACATTGCCGCTTGCCACCAAGCTTAAAGATCCTGAAAACTTGTTACAGAGTCGGAACATAAGCCGAGAAAACACGTTCACGTACGAAAAATACTTCTAAAAATGGGTCACGATCAATTTGAAGCACGAACTAGTAAGCCGCAAACGAAGCTCAAACCAATGAAATTAAATCAGGTCTGCCGCAAATCGTTAAAAAGACGCAAAGAGCTTGCTATTATTCCTAATATATTTGATACTACCATGGAATAAGCTTAAATTGCTTTCTTCTTTTGCATATAAACCCAATTTCCAATAGTATTATTATAGTTTCACTTTGCAAGTAGGAACCAAAATGGCGGCTCCGCGCTCGCCCCAGACCGTTTGTCCCAACTCTTAAGACACAGCATAGATATATACAGAAGCGCCACTCAGCGAAAAATCTGTCCCCTACTTGTACCCAGTTCTTAAGTGCGCATCTTTTGCGTCCGCCATTAGTCCAGCCAGATAAACTGGCAAGAATGTATATAGATTAGTATTATGGAGAGTTGTTTTTCGAAAATTTGACGAATTTAAATTCACTTATGGACAAAATTTTTAATGCCATCGGATAGGATACCAAGCATATGAGGTGAGAAACAGTTTTGTTGTAAAATACGTTCGTAAAATATAATTTTACGGGTTTTATAGTTTCTTGCCTTGAATTGTATGCGAGATCCATGTTTAGAACGTCTCTTATATTGAACGGCAGTTGCCCTAAGAATTTATAATTTAGGACAAAAGTAATAAATATATTTAGTGTGATTCCATTTCTGTATTTTATAGTAAAGAGTTTCCTATTAGAATGGTCAACGGATTTGATAGAAGCGATAAAAGACCTACTGTGCGTAAAGAACGTTCTTCAGATGAAGACGTTATTAGTATAAAATTTGGACTAAACTAATTTATATTTGATTCTTGAATCGGGGCTTTTTATTTGCAATGTAGCTTGTCTGCATAATTGTAATTGAAAGTTTTATTTGTAATTGTATATTGAGTTCCTGTGGCTATCATGTCTGTCAAATTTGTATTAACTTACAAATAAAGATGTTTTTTGTTGTCTTATTTTTAATAAACAATATATGAAATTACAATTTTTTAAAGAATGAAGTTATTGATAAATTGTTACAATTAAATTAACAACTTTACATTATGTCAAACATATTGTCAAGCTCCTACAGCTTACCTTTTGGTTAAACTTCACTTGTGAGTTGTGACCAACAATTGTATGTGAAAATGATTAGAATTATGTTTGATTCACCGCATTGATCAACCAGCAGAGAAAATTATTGCAACAAAGGGCTCGAAAATTTAATTTTTGCTAAAATCCATAAACTTCATTCAGTAAATTAAAATTTTTATTGTAAGTAATCATGTCACAAACAGAACTTATTCTGACAAAAACCAGTTATAGTTACTCTTAATGCAATCGTAATACTTTACACAGTAAAATGTTTACCAAAAGGTGAAACACAGATACACCAGAAAACTTTTTTAAAACATTTGACAGGGGGAAACTGTGCCAAGCCAACACCAATCCAATTCACAAAAGCATTCAGGAAGCTTTTTTATGTTCACTTCTCACATCATCAATAAGCATCCATGTCAAATATATAAATAATCTCCTGATTGAATTTAAAAAGGCAGAAATAACAAAGTTAAGTCATGTGGACCATATGACAGTATATGTTTTACCAATTGCTATTCAAGCACTTTATTGGTGGAGGCCAACATGCTGCTGCTTATGTTCCAACTTGCTCAAAAAGTCATTTAAGCTTCACAAGTCACAACTGTGATGAATACAAAATATTTTGGCATCAGATGACTTTCATAGTGGCCATGCAGCATCGCTTCTGATAGTTTAAAACACCTGGGTAGACAATTTTGGTGATTCGAATGTCCTGTCAAACGTTGTTTGCAATATATAAAATAATTTGATTTGTCACTTGTTTCAGCCACGACCGAGATTTCAAATGTTAGAACAAATGTCTTCAAGATTCTCTGCAGAATTCTTATATTATAAAATTAAAACTGACGACAAACCATATACCGAGTACGCATCTCGTCAGATACATATCTACTTTGTAAATATTCCGAATAAACCCTCATTTATCAAAACGGACGTCGAATTAATGATAAATTGTTGAGAGCTTGATGTGTTAACTGTATCCACACAAAAAATATTAAAAAAATGGCCAATCTATAGAAATATTTGGGTTTATTTGCCAAAACCCATCCGTAGAACTATATATCATATTGCGATCTGGCTGCATTTATCTGGCTGGAAACATGGCCGCCGTGTAAAGTTGCCCGGATGTTGGGGACACGAACATCAAAGGTTCCGACATCGAGTGGCGCTTCTGTATATATCTATTCTGTGCTATAGAGGGCCATTGAGGTCTTATAGAGCTCAATGTAGAGGGCTCTGGGATGAACGAGTTTGGTTTATCAGTTTCTAATTGTTATTCTGACGTTAACGATACAGATTTCGAGTTGGTCATAAGAAACATAACGAACGAGTTTCCCAATCTTGGCTACAAACGTATGTCAGGATTGCTGTTAGCAAGAGGTTTGCGAATTCAGCAGGACAGGATTCGTGAAATGATGCGAAGAGTTGATCCACAGTGTGCATTGTTTCGTACTTTGTCTCTTAGAGCAGTGCACAGACGTAAATATCATGTTACTTGCCCCTTATCACTTTGGTATGTGGATGGCAATCACAAATTGATTTAGGTGGGCTACTAAAAAATACCTATTTTGGGGCGTTGATAAATCTCAGTTTTGCATACAAATGTACTAGTAGTTTCATATTTTTAGATGGAGATTTATGACTCATGCAGGAATAGACGGCTATTCACGTTTGCTAGTATTTATTCGCTGTAACACAAACAATCAAGCTGATACTGTTCTAAATCTATTTCTATCTGGTGTATCTCAATATGGACTGCCATCCAGAGTAAGAACTGATAAAGGAGCTGAAAATGTCGTGGCAGTCATATTACCTGACGAAGTGTGCACAACCAACGGATTGAGTGCTTTTGGCGAGACCTTTTTGTTGGTTGTACAAGTCTTTTTTACCATTTATTCTATCATATGGAAAGTAATGGAATATTGGATCCATCAAATGAAGAACATGTGTTTTCATTGCATTAGTGTTTTGTCCAATTATTAACAGAAATTTGGAAATTTTCCAGGAAGGTTACAATAGATCTCTCATAAGAACAGAAAGAATTCTATCACCTGAACAGCTATGGATCCAAGGATCCTGCTTAGCCAATAATTCAAATGACCATATACAGCAGGTATTTTTATACAATAACTCATGACTTTACTTTTAGACTACACTTTACATTATAATCATCAGACTGGATCCAAAGCTAATTGATGTATGCTAATGTCAAAATCTAATTTAATGTTCCAATTCACTAAGGTAAATGAAGAATTTCCACCCACCTTTACACAAAATTACGCATGTCATGAAACAGATCAGCAGCAAGTGCTTGTTCCAGAAAGCATCATTACATTGAATGAAATAGATCTTGATGAGCTGCAAAGAACCATTAATCCTTTAAGGACTTCTAATCATAATGGTGCTGACATATACATTGAGGTGCTTCAGTTTGTAAATACCAGACTGCACCAGGAAGACAAGTGACATTGTGAACTCACAAAACAAGAAAAGTTACTTGACCTATTGTTGGTTGGTGTCAATTCAGATAATACAAAAGAAGATATGTATGGCAAGGAAGGCTATAAATTTTTCATTATGTTCAACAATGGGGACTGGAGCCGGTTGTAAGAAGCAGATTTAGCTTAAGTAGTGGATTATCTCAATAGAAAATCCAATCAAATTATTCACTGGTCAGCTAAAATAATAGATCATCGCAAACATGCATTACATAAAATCTAAGTCTTTTCTTTAACAAGATTAAGATGAATGTCATCATGTTTTGGAATCTACGCCCCCCGTACTTGGCACTGTCCGTATCAGTTGATACCACAATTAACGCTTCGTTAATCAATCCTTACATACACCACAAACATTATCATCCAGACTCCACTCCCCGTACCTTGAACAATGTCTTCACGTGACCAATCTGTGTCGCCGTGACAAAATCCGTCTGAATATGACTGACGTCTTCCATTTGTCTTTTAGCGTTTCCCGCCATCTGCTCCATTTCCATAGAATACAACATACGACGATGTTTCTCACTTTGTAAATCTGTAAAGTGGAAGCACAATAAAAAATCTCTTTAGTTTTATGAAAATGCATTGGAGCTCTCTTAAGACCAACACGGAACATTACAATATCCATTATAAGCCCCTTTCCTACACACATCTCAAGACCAACACCTCCATCTCAAGACCTTCACCTTCATCTCAGAGCTAGGACTCTACACTTCGCGGTCAAGACCTTTACCAAGCATCTGTACAATTTTTCCAGTTAAGCCTTGATTCTCGTATTAATGTTCCAATACATACATGTAGCATCGTATCTACTGTTTACTTTTGGTGTATGTTTCATCTTGATTTCATTCTGTGCAATATCATCATAAATTGCTTCAAGATATTCATTTGAATGTACTGCGCTTTCGTTATTTTCCGTTTAACCTGAAAGAAAATTTCAGGTGATTACGATGTCGCATCTAAAGGCTAAATTTTCACGTGATTCCAATGAAGGCTCCATATCAACGCCATGGAAATCTCGAGTGACCACAATGGAGTCACGTGATCGTAGACATAAAGTCACTTTTATAGAAAACCATTGCAAATGAAGTAAGTCTGTGTAACCTGTGAACTATGTAGATCAGTAGTCAACATGATCATAGAATAAGCCAGAACGTAGGCAGCGTCTGCACTAGCAAACACATCGTTTATCATAGACAGTCTAACCTAGCTATATCTAGACATGTTTGTACATGAGTCAGTTTGTAGAAACGTCAGTCAACATCAACAACAACAGTCCTTCTTAGGACTCTACAATCCTGGACGATTTATATCTACAAACATGTAACAATACTCCCAGTTCAAACAACTCACTTTACATCTATCTAACAGCAGATTGCAGCCCTCAAAACTCGAATAATAAAAGTTCGATGAGAAAATATTTAAAACAAAAATCAAAATAAAAATCGTCAACTTAAAACAAAAAAACAAAAATCGTCAAAAACTAGTCCTTAATTATTGTTGATGTTAAATGAAAAAAAATTAACACATGGTTAATAGACAAAAGTCATTTCGTAAGTTTCACTAGCCAGCATGCAATGCGAGATGTAAAACAACAGATAACAAGACACAAATCATGTCCTTACTTTGGTTTCGTTTCACCGAACCTACTCGCAAACTTCTCCATGAGTCGATCGATCTTTTGCGCTTCACCGGGAAGCCGGAAGTTATGTAAGAACAATCGCAGAGCTTGCACAAGGTTGGTACCAGTGAAATCCAACTGATCTATATAGGCGTACATTATCTCCCGTTCATATTTAAAAAGTATAGGAAGACACGAGGACAGTTGAGGATATGAAGAACAGTTGAGGACATGACGAATAATAGATCTAAGTCTACTATTGTTTGCTTATTTTGAACAGTAGCAAATCTTACTGAATTCTGTCAATATTCGTCACTGGATAGAGAAATTTTGAGCATTTAAAAATTGTTTTGCTTTTTATGGACAAAATTACCAAGAGATTTGATGATAATGCTTAGTTTCAAACAGCTTTTGTCCTTTTACACGGAGTTTAATGCAACCTTAAATATATTTTGATTTTACGATTAAAGTTTCTGATTTACTATTTCATGTATCATGAGCAAACCATCCATGGGCTTCATGGCAAATTAACATAATCAACTTTTCTTGACTCAATTTATGTTTAAATAAATACTTAAGATGAGAATCAAACGTCTTAACGTGATTTTCACGTGATTGTCACGCGAGGGAGATGTGAAAAAACATACTTACTGTCCTGGATCACCAATCAGCTCGCCAATCATAGTCTAAAACCATAAAACGCAACACTGGGTCAAAATCCAAAGCAACATTTAATGTTTCTACAAATTCCTCAACGATAGCGTGCGAATG